GGTGTTGATAATAAAGCAGGCAGAAGTATATCAAACGTCTAAGCTGAATTAATGGCCCCTAAGTCATGCATTGTGCCTCAGCCTCTGACCATATGGGCCCTACTCTCTTAAGCCAGAACTCCCACAGGCACTCACCTTAGGACTGCCGTGGGGCATCTCGATGTTCTGCTATGGGTAGACTCCAGCCTCACAGGCTGGCTGTACATGATTCCCTTGCTTGAGGCCTTTGGGTTTGTGCCAGCTTAAGCTTTCTACTTTTCCCCCAAACTCTACTGGCTTGCCCCTGTCTTCATCTCAGACTTTCACTTCCTTTTTTTCTTTCTGCATTTATACTTCCTGTTTCTTTTAGGAAATCCCTATTTCCCCAAACTCTGGAGCTTGGGATAGCTTTTAAAACTTAGGGCAGTGCTTAACTGGGATTTGTTGTTTGGCACTTCTGGATTTGTCTGTTACTCAAGTTATAATGACTTCAGATGAAGAAACCCTAAAAATAATAACAGCATAGTATTATCCAGAAAATAGTATCTTTGTTAAAGACACAGATATTTCCCAATCTAAGCCTAGTTAGAAAAATTGGGATACATAGTAATTCTGAGTGATCAATTTAACTCAACCCTATACCCATACAAAGTGCCTGCTTTGTATATATGGCACTATGCTGAGGGCAATTGTATAGTTTGTCCCTGAAGTCCTTGAGCCCTCTTTTATCTAGTGAGGACAAACCTGAAGTGCCCAAGGCCATGTTGGTGAAGTGTCAAAGCAGAATTTGTGGCTTTCCCAGGGAGAGGCTCCAGAAAGCTGGTGAGGGGTCTGCAGAGGCTTCATGGAGGAGACAGGGTTTGAAATGTTGTTTGAAGGCTAAAGATCTTAGAGAACCAATGAAGACCAGCTTGGAGGTGGTAAAGCAGGTGGGCTGTGTGTGTAGGGGCTGTGGTGTCAAGCCATTTGGCACCATGGCTCAGGCAGGTTTCCTTGCTCTGACAGAGTAGCTCTTACCCCATTGGTGTAGAATGATCCCTTCTGTTGTGAGATGCCCTTTCTCTCCCTTGTTTTATCTGGATAAGTTCCATTTTCTAGCTGCTTTCATTTCCAACAATACTGCTATTCTCAGGCTAAAAAATTCTTAAGGATTAAGATCTGAATCAGCATGAGTCATACAGGTTCTCAGATTCAATAGCCAAACAGACTTTTTTATTTCATTTTTTTTTAAGTCACGTGAATGCAGAAGAGACTAGAAAATACACCTTAGCTGGAGGATTCAGTCACCTTTTATTTGGAATCAAGAACAGGTTTCTTTGGATTAAAAACACCTGTGACTCTTCTGAAACCTTCTTTTAAGGTTCCAGAATCCAGTTTAGGAGCCATAGTAGGGTAGTTTATGTAGTTGTGTCCCTTTTAGCCTATGGCACATAGCTCCCTCTTCTAAGAATCTAGGAGGTGGGTGAGTGTTTCAGGGAAGAGAAAGAGCAGCTGGAACGATGAAATAGTCAGAAATGTTTATTATGAGCTTCCTTTTCTTGTTTCTATTGGAACCATTGGCCATATTTAAAAGTCCTTCAGCCAGCACTCTTTGTTTCAGATGTCAAAAAGAAAGTTGAAACATGTTAGTTTGTTTTCATGTTCTGTGATTCTAAGATAGAAGGAGGAGGAGCCCAAACTTCATAGCTCAATATGGCTGGAACCTGGGGGTAAAAAGGTGCTTGGAGTAAACGTGGGTATATGAAACAAAGCACAATTACTAAAGTGCAATGATTTTTAAGTAATTTATTTGTATATAGCCCTTTCCAATATGCCAAGTGCTTACCCAAGCATCACTCATCCGTTGCCATGTGTGTCCTTTGCAGTAGCCTTGGGGGTTGGGACACGGAGTTGGTGTTCCCGCTGTGGACCAAAAAAAGGCAAAACTGTAAAACAATTAGTAGCATTTATCTGGGGTTTTAGAGATTAAAATCTGGGAACATAGATTTAGGAGGAAACCCAAATGTATGCTCTGAAGAGGGAAAAGGGCTTAGGGTTTTTAAAGTAAAAAAGGGGAACTCTGAGGGGGCTTTACACACGTTGTTTTGAAAGGATTACAATTGGCTAAAGCTATGGTAACCTGCACTTAGCTGTTCCCGATTGGTTGCTAAGGCTATTCGGGAGGCAAAGAGGCTACTTTCTTGGAGGTAGCAGATATTTGTCCAGGATATTTAGGTCTGGCAGAATGTAAATTCAGCATTCACTGGAGAAAGGTCAGTTTGAGAAGAGGAAGGAGTTAATTTCCTTAATCCTCCCCTCTTCCACTCTAGTTTACTCTCACTGTCAATGTTAACTCCATTTTATCTACATTTACACCACTTCAAGGAGTCACTCACCCAAAGTGGCAGAAGGACCTACACAGAAGTTCTGAACTTTTCAACTCCTGCATGATACTCTCCAGATTCTATTGTAACATCCCCATCAAATTAAGCCCTATAGAAAGAAGACAAGATTTATACTAATACTAGGAGTTTCTGTACCTTTGGAATTCAACATATGTGGACAAGTTCACATAAACCTTAAAAACAAAATCATTATCTCTGATACCTTGAAAGTGACAAGCCAAGAAGCCTGCTGAACCTGTGCTCTGAGAATAAAGGTTAGTGCTCCGCCTTTAATGAAGACCCAGGAGCCCTACTGGAAAGCAATCCTGCTGGAATGGCGTCTGCAGGCTTGTGCCACAGGACCTGGCTGGGGGAGGTCAGTTATGATAGAGTGGTTAAGAAATGGCTTTGATTCCTGCATTTGCCACTTAATGGTTGTGGGTCTTGAACAAGTTTTTTGAAGTCTCAAAGCTTCTGATTCGTCAGAAGTAGGTGGGGTGTTCACAATGTGTAGCTGATAGAATTATGAAGAATTTGCGAGATAGGGCATATGAAAACTTCAGCCCAGCCTGCATTTGTTTGTTATAATAAAGGTCATAGAACACAGACTCTAGAGCCAGACAACCTGGCTGTGAATCTCAGCTACACCCCCCTACCAGCTGTGAGTTGGTGGGCAAGTTAGTAAGCCATTCTCTGTCTTGGTTTCCTTATCTGTAGAATGAGAATAATAGTGCTGTTTACCTCATAAAGTTATTATAAGGGTTAAATAGATACTACACAATATATATAAAATTAAGTGTTTGCCAATAATAATACTTTCTAACTTCTTTTTACAAAACCTCCCTAGCTTCGGTCCAACTGGTTACTGTATATGACATGTCATACCAAGAGACTTTCAGGAAATGCAGAATTTTAGAAATGTGAAAAGGCAGTATTTCCATTGTTAAAAAGTTTTACAGTCCAGATAACAAATTTATATGTGTTGCACAGTCTGGGTACAGAGGTAGGCAGACCTTTCTTTGGTAGATGTAGACAAAATGGAGTTAACATTGACAGTGAGAGTAAACTAAAAAAATAAGAGTGGGGGACCATTAAGGAAATAGGGTCTTTATAGAATAGGAAATATTCTTCTCTGAAACTATTCTCAGAAGAAACTTAAACTTAGTATTCTGTCACAACATAAGGATCCTGGACAAAAATCTGCTTCCTGCAAAAAAGTATGTATACATTTTGCCTGGAGAAGAGTCTTAGCAACCAATTATGTATGTATAATTAAATACAGGTTATAATAGCTTTAGCCAATTGTAATTCTTTGAGAACAATTGTGGATAAACTGAAGGTTCCTGTGACCAAGATTCTCACCTGGCCCTCGTCGGCTAGGTAACTACACATGTGTGGGCAATACGTTTTATTGACTCTATATAAAGAGCTCCGCCCAGTGCTCTGGGCAACACCGTGGCACAGCTGCAAGCTGCAGGAGAGCAGAGCAGAGACTGGAGTGGTGGCAGCACTGAGAACAGCTTGCTGCATGCGGACTCGCTCTGAGTGACCGACCTGCCACCGTGGGAATAAAGTTGGGTATAACCCTTTCACCCCAAGAATGTTCTACTGTCATTTCTTTGGTCACACTGAATCCATAGTGAACTTGCCTGAGGCTGAAACCCACTGGCAAGACAACAATTCATATAAGCCCCCTCAGGATTTCCCTTTTTGCCTTTGAAAACCGTAAGCCTTTTCCCCTCTTGGGGTTGGTGTCCTTTTGGGTTTTTCTCCCCAGGCTATGTTCCTGGATTATAATCCCTAAAACCCCAAATAAATGTAAATCATTGATTCACAGCTTTGCCTTTTCTTGGTTGATACTTCATTTTCTTCAAATTATCAGGCCGAGCCTGAAGCTGCGGTGAGGGGGTTAAGATTACACCACAGTTGGGGCACTCCTCTCCTCTTGTGTACATAAGCTATAATTAGGTCTAGATAAGCTTAATATGTTGCATATTGCTTTACGGCCAGCTGGTCCCAGAACAGCTGGTTACATGAGTCAGAATGTTTAAGTCCAACTTTAAAATAAAACATTCGGAAGGTGAGCCCATATATTCTGGCTGGGCTGATCCGTGGTCCAGTTCCCACCCTGTCTCTAGGTCCCAATTAGCCACTCCACCAGGTGTTTCCTCTCAGAGTTTTATCCTCTTTGTTTTGGAAGCAAAAGTTCAGGTGTGACTTTAATTGGAATACTGATGTGTAATGAAGATTCAGAAGTAAATGTTTATTTTCCAAAATGGAAGAGCTTTGTATTTTTCTGATTATGAAAGTAAATCCTGTTTTAGGAATGTCCAAATAATGCAAAAATTTAAACAATATAGAAAAGGCAAAAACCATGCATACTCCCAGCACACAAAGAAAACTGCTGTAAAGCTATTGGCATATATCTTTCTAGATACTTTTTTTGTGTGTGTATATAAGGATATTAAATTTTATGGATGGCTTTTAGCAATATATGTAGGTATCTACTTTATGAAAAAATATACATATATATTATAACTTTGATAGAATTCCACTCAATGGTTGCAGTGTAATTTATATTAAACCAATCCTCTCAATGTTAGATTGTTTTCAAGTTACCAGGAAGTCTTATTTTGACAATTGCGCATACAGGAGATGCCGGTTACTTAAATTCTAATTCAGAGATGGAGACGCCAGGCTCATCTTCTACCATCCCTGAGCAGCAGCTGCAGAGGCAAGAGGGCCTGAGTAACACCAAAACAGACTCAGCTGACCAGAGTCTCATCTCGTCTGAGGAATGGCTTCAACTGCATGGGCTTAAGAGCAACAAATTGACTTTGAAACAGATTTTGTCGCAGATTGGATTCCCACACTGTGAAGGTACACTACTCACAAAGCAATGTTGGCTGGAAAAACCCCAGCAGCAAGCTGCCCTTTCACCTTTGAAGTAAGTGTCTTGCCAATGGATTTCAGCTCCTGGCAAGTTCACTATGGATTCAGTGTGAGCAAAGATATGACAGTTTCTTTGGGGAGAAAGGATTTATTACCCAGCTTGTTCTCCTTGCGGTAGGTCGAGCTCTCACGTCTCTGTCTCCCCCCAGAGCACTGGGACGAGCTCTCTATATAGCGCAATAATAGCTTATTGCCTATAGGTGTGGAAGCAGTAGCCTAGCAACAGGCCAGTTACTTCATCAGGTGGTTTAAGTTCAGTGAGGATCCTGGCCATAGGAACCCCAACTTCCCCACAGGGAGGCATCAGTTCTGAAGGCCCCTTAAAAACCACAGGTCTGTGGGTTTGTTTCCATCTCACATCTTTATGGGTACAAAAAAAGTTGATGCATGGACTCCCCATACATGAATGTTTGATAGATCTACAATTGTCAGTGCACATGTCAAATTTTAGTAATGTTAGTTTGATTTTTCATCCTTTAAAGATGAGATTTAAAAAATGGATTTATTTGTATTTCTGCATACCCCAGCAGATATCTTGCTTATCCCCTGATGTGCACACCCCTTTTGTAGGTTACTGATTAAGGCAATAGTTGTGTGTGGTTTCAGAGAGAATGTGCTGTTTTCCTGTTGTGCCCTGCCTTATGTTATGGTCCAGTTTTTCCTAAAGGTGTTAGTTGAAGTGTTGGTTCTCAACTCCCAGTAGTACTGCCCTCTGACAGGGAGTGTGGAAATGTGTGAGGGTGTTTTTGTTTGTATTATGACATGTTGACTTGGGTTGTAATGGAAATACAGGGCCTGGGGCCTAGGGATACTGAGTTGTCTGATAAGCCCACCCAGGAGTGAATGTCAGTAACACCCCACCTGAGCAGCATACCTTTCATCAGGGCAATTTCCATTTCTAGGATTTTTCTCAGTGATTCTGAATTAATCAAATATTTGTTGAGCAGTCATTAATACTGGGTTTTTCAGATTTCTCACCAGTTCCCTTGGCAGCTTTGTTCCACACTGGTGATTCAGAGTTATAGGGGATGTGTTGTTACAGACTGATCCGGAGGCCCATCCAGATGACAAGGCCTTGCTCGTCAGGACTCAGGCTATGCTTATTTACCTTTCCATAGGGCTAATGCAGCCCTGAGCCATCTAAATACCTTTTGAGCTGGGGGTCTATGTGATTCTTATATAAGGAAACAAACTGAAAGCAGTTTTATGTTGTATCTCAAATAAGTATAATTCAGTCATTAATATTAGCAAAGATAGCTCCATCCATGTTGTTGCAAATGGTAGGATTTATTTTCTTCTTATGGCTGAATAATATTCCATTGTGTGTATGTATCACATCTTCTTTATCTATTCATCTACTGATGGACACTTAGGTTGCTTCCATTTCTTGGCTATTGTAAATAGTGCTGCGATAAACATAGGGGTGCATATGTTTTTTTGTTGTTATCATTAATCTACAATTACATGAGGAACATTATGTTTACTAGACTCCCACCATCACCAAGTCCCCCCTACAAACCCCATTACAGTCTCTGTCCATCAGCGTAGTAAGATGCTGTAGAATCACTGCTTGTCTTTTCTGTGTTGCACAGCCCTCCCCGTGGCCCCCCCCC